CCAGGGGCTTGGTTAGTGTAGGGTCTGGAGGAGAATAAGCTTCTTGCCTCTGTTTCTTCCACCAGCAGCCTGGGCTTGAAGGCACTCACTAGCTCACAGTCGGTGGGTTTCTGAATCCCAGTCCCCAAAGCTGTGGGTGTGTTCATGTAGGGACCACTCATGCAGTGAGCCTCTCACCAGTTTCCATTATGTGGATGATGTCCTGGTCTCTCCACACAAGACTACACACACACACACACACACACACACACACACACACACCTTGGGTGGACTTGGGAGGAGTCCTGGTCCCCGCCCACACAGAGCCTCTTCTGTGCCAGGTCAGATGGTGGCTGCAGGAACCCAGCAGGTGCAGGCTGGGAGCCACCCCACGCGCTGCCCCAGGTGTCTGCTGGGCTGTGGAGGATGGGTTTGTTTCGGTGCATGAAACGTAGAGATCATTTGACCCTGTAACTTTGGTGTCATGCATGGTCAGAAAGCAGGAAGTGCTGGGGGCGGGGAGCAGCTCCCGATGCTGAGAACCTATGCAGAAGCTCTGGACAACAGCGACAAAAACTCGTCCCGTCAGATGCCTTGTGGCCATCAGAGAGCATCACGGGTCCTGTCTGCGTCTCGGGGTTCACAGATCCAGACCAGTGGAGGTCTCATTAGGACAGCAAGGGCCGCCCACATGTACCTGGAGATTGGCCTCATGTCAGCCCGAATCAGGGGGTCCCGGGAGAATGACTGACTGTGTGCTCATTCCTTTTGACAAAACCCAGCTTGGAGGCAAAACAAGGCCAGCTAGGAAGAGGTGCAGACGCTCTCTAAGGCGCACTTTAGCCAAGATCATGGTCCCGTCCCCTGGGGCCCCAGGTGGGGCAGGCATGCCTGGTGGCCCTGTGTGTCTCAGGCAACAGAGACCATTGGGACACCCATGTGCCACTCTGCGCGGTTTCTGACCACCATGGCAGAGCCATGGAGGCAGCTTGGCTGCAAGGGTGGCTCTTGGAGGATGTCCACGGATGCCTGAGCAAAGACACACCAGGGAAGGACAGAGTTGGGGAGGCCAGGGGGTGGGCTCACGGACCCCTTCCATGCATGCCCCCACAGGGGCTCCCCCTCTTATGTTAACTTCAAGGATAATTCTGACCGTCTTCCCATTCAGCTGCTACACAGCAGCTTTTACACACGTGTATGAGTAAATACGCCTCGGGCACGTCAGACTGGAAATAATACAGCGTAAATCACCTTTTACAGCCAGGAAAGCACTGGAATCAAAGGTGACTTTGCTAACTGTTTGAACTTCTCTGCACTGCGGTAGCAAAGCTTCCGTCCGTTGGGGTTAAATCTGCAAATGCATATTGACTTTCTAATTTTATGAAGCAGAGCTTGGTTGGCATAGCGGCACACACGACCCAGGGTTATGAGTTCAAAGAGGTAATTGTTGGAGAAATGATTGAATACATCACAAATCCCTCTATTTCCATCTCTTCAAATGGGATGCCAAAGCGATTAAAGATTAAAAACATATCACAAACAAATTCACATTAGAAAATTGCTGTAATCATTCTCTGCTGGATTAACCAGGGTTTAGGAGCCTCTGCTTGCTGGTTCCGCCGGGAGGTCTTTCGGGAGAGACGGCGAAGCCAGAGCGGCTTTGGGTCGGAGCGACGGTTTGTGCATTTCACTCACCCTTAGGAGAACGGTGTTTGTCCTTTACAAAGGGGCACCTCTTCTCATGTTTCCATCCTGCAAGGGAAATAGACATGCATGTTTGGTAAATTAAGCGGTGGTAAAGCAGGCAGCTGGTCGTGGGCTTAATCATAAGTTAAAACAAAGTTCCCTGTTGAGTCTAGTGACAGCTGCGCACATGGAAAGAAAAATCCCCTCGTTGGGATGAAATTAACAACTAAAGGAAGCCGTGGAAAGCCTGTGTGCCTGGTCGACCAGGGTCTGTCCATGAACCTGTATGGGCTGGACGGGACCAGTGGCACTGTACCAGCCCTGGGGTGGAGCTGGAGCTGGGCAGTTCTGCCCAGAGATAGGAGGAGGGATGCAGTTGTAGATGAGTGAATTTCTTAACTACAGAAAGCAAACCTCTTTGTAACATATACCGGGCACCAGCGGAACCAAAAGTGCTGGGGCCACAGCGCCTTGCCCAGGAGGTGGGGAAGTCCTTGGTTTTGGGCAGGGACACTGCATGTTAAGGGCTGCCTTGTCTTGGGTATGCTGACCAGAGGACATCCACACGTGCGGAAATGCAGAAGCCTCTGTCTCTTTATGAAATGAAGAAAGAAGAGCCCATGTGAACCCCCATGTTTGCTTTCTAACCTGCTGGGCCCTCTACTTTTACTCAGCAATTTGGAAGGTCCCTGGGGAGGGAGGGAGCAGGCATGGCCATCAGTGCATGGAGACAGGAATGGGACCTAGGTCAGGCAACCTGCCTCTACTGACCTCAGCAAAGGACTCTTACAGAGCCACTGGCTTCACAAAGGGCTTTCCAAAAAGAGGCCACGCCATCCAGAGAATGGGTCTTGGCCAGGCGCGCTGGCTCAGGCCTGTAATCCCAGCACTTTGGGAGGCTAAGGCAGGCGAATCACTTGAGGCCAGGATTTCGAAACCAGCCTGGGCAACATGGCAAAATGCTGTCTCTACTAAAAAAACACACATGAACTGAATGTGGTGGCACATGTCTGTAATTTCAGTTACTCCGGAGGCTGAGGCAGAAGAATAGCTTAAACTCAGGAGGCAGAGGTTGCAGTGAGCAGAGGTCACGTCACTGCACTCCAGCCTGGGCGGCAGAGTGAAACTCCATCTTAAAAGAGAGAGAGAGAGAGAGAGAGAGAGAGAGAGAGAGGGAGAGAACTTGTGTTGATCTGCAAGTCACTCAGGCAGCAGACAGCAGGGCCCACACCTTTCCTGTGTGGCCAATAGAGGGAGGCGGCATGGCTCCCAGACAAACCCCTGGGTGGACTGGAGGACCCGAGGCTGTCACCACAGGAGGCTGTCACCACGCTGGGCTGCCTCTCAGGGGTTCGCCTTGTAATCTGCTGCCTCCTGACGTTTCCTAGGCTTGGGTATGGTTGGCGCGTGTGAGGCTGGACGGGTTTGTGGGTCCCGTGATTCAGTGGGTGCAGCCTCTGCCTTTCCTGCTGCCGGCTTGGACCCCGACCCCAGCCCCAGCCCCAGCCCCCACTCTGGAGAAAGCCTCGGTGAACCAGGACTGAAAGAAAAATAGATGTTTCCTATTTGCGTAGCTCTAGAATAGACTCCCTGAGTCCCTGACATTTCCTGGTTATTATTAAACAAAGAGAAAAAGGCAAGGAGAGCTCTGTACACTTGGCGTTTTCACAGCGGAGAGCTGCAAAACCTGAGACTGGCAAGCCACGCGTGGCCACTGAGCTTTGAAGTGTGGCCAGCCTGAACCGAGCTGGGCTTTCAGTGCAAAACACATGCTGGAACTTGAAGACTTGGTGCCAAAAAGTAAAGTATCTAACAATTTTAAATGATGACATGTTGAAAGGACATTTTGGATGTGTTGGGATCAGCATTAAAGTTTTCAAGAAGAATAATTTCACCCGCTTCTATTTCCTCTTTTAATATGGCCACTTGAAAATGTGAAACTCAACTCACGGCCACACTGTCTCTGCACAGCAGCACTAGTCACGGGGGTGGTGTGAACACCTTGGTTCTGGGGACACGGCCTCCCACCGCCCACAGCCTGCACATCGCTGCCTAGGTGGGAATCCATGGGTGAGCATCTTAGCCAGACATGGTGGCTCAGCCTAGAACCCCAGCACTTTGGGAGGCCAAGGCAGGAAGATCACCTGAGATCAAGAGTTCAAGACAAGCCTGGTTAGCATGGCGAAGCCCCATTCCTACTAAAAAATACAAAAATTAGCCAGGCGTGGTGGCGCACATCTGTAGTCTCATCTACTAGGGAGGTTGAGACCCAAGAATCACTTGAACTGGGGAGGCAGAAGCTACATTGAGCCAAGCTGAGATCATGCCACTGTACTCCAGCCTCTGTGATGGATCGAGACTCCATGTTAAAAGAAAGAAAGAAAGAAAGAAAGAAAGAAAGAAAGAAAGAAAGAAAGAAAGAAAGAAAGAAAGAAAGAATAACAGCAACAAAAAACCAGTGAGTGTCGTGAAAAAGCTGGAACCCACGTTGCGAGCAAAGCTCTTCCGTGTTTGATCCCTCCTGAGCGCTGGAGGAAGGCTCGCTCCTGGTGGGCACATGGTGGTGACCGAGAGGTTCTTTCCAGGTGGCCCCAGACTTTCTCCACACAGTGCAAGGTCACAGCCACCGGAGAAAACATAAGCAGTCCGCTGAGTCTCTTGGGAGCCACAGGCTTGCTGGGGCACCCGCGTGGGTTCTATTTTGCTGCTCGCTAGATGAGGGCAGAAGGCCATGGAGGGCTGTGTTGTAATGGGAAGGTCCCTGGGCAAATGTGAGACAGACCAAATGACACTGTGATAGCCCGGGGGGCGTCAGGAGTGGCCACTGTGGAGAGGGCCACCTAGTTCCTCTCTGAAACACCACAGTCCCGCTCAGGCAAGAGAGAGGCAGGTAGACATTTTGCAGAACTGTAGAAAAACAGCTTTGTCATGTAAAAAAAAAGTTTAAGTGTAATTTAAATTTTTTATTTAAATTAAGTTTCCAGAATAATTTTTGATTACCGAAGTGGTTCTTTCAAAACTTATATTCCACCCAAAGAGAGAAAGAGAATTTTTCCCCCGACTCTTGTCCCTGTGATTTCACACATTTGCTATAATAAGTGGCTGCATTTGGATCAGTTTCAGCACCTCAGAGACTCTTCAGGCTCTGGTTTAGAATGGACACAGTTATCTGAAAATTGAAATTATGATGAATTCAGTTACAAATGAAGACTATTTCATTTGATATTAAAATTTAATATTTTTTTTAAATAAATGAAAATAAAATGCTTTACTCTGAATATAAATGATGTGCTAATGTCTCTGATTTTAACCAGAATAAACACCCCTGTTTCAAATTCTGAAAGCAAGTAATTTATTTAAGATCACCCTGCAAGTGAAGGACATTTGAGTTTCCAGCTTTCCTATCTTAATTATCTAAAAGGGATCTGAAAAACTCAGCTTTCCCAACTTGCAAAACTGACAAACTAGTCTGTTAGGGGGAAAAGAGGCAATGAAGAAATAAAGACGGAAATTAGCAGAAGCCAGTGCTAGGCCTGTGTCTTTATGAATAGGACTTAATCTCACACTTCATCGTGCAAGCCCCGCAGGCCTTCTGGAACGCATTAAAGTCAAATGTTGTGGACCGGCGCTTGCAGGCGGCGGCCTCTCCCCTTGGCGTTACGGACAGCCGAGGAAATTGGGTTAATAAAGCCCGATGCTGCAGCGGGGCCGCGGGGCGCTAACCGGCGCGGACAGCTGCGTTCCCGGTGTGCCCTACCCGGCTGTGCGCGGCGGCTCGCTGGGCCCCGACGGTGGCAGAGCTCGGAGCTGCGCTCTGCATCTCGGTTCACACCCGGCGGGGCCCCGGCAGCTTACTCACCCGTAGCCCGGCCTCCTCCCTCGGAAGCGTGAGGGGACCGGTGGAGAGGAGGCTTTGCTGGACACCAGGGCTAGGTGGGGCCTTCCCTGCCACCCAGGGTGAGGTAGGGCGCGGGCTGTGAGGACCCCTCCTCCACGCAGCCCCCTCAGCAGAGGCCCTGCAAAGTGGCCTTCCTCCAACTCCACCGCGCGGACCATCCAGGCAGGGGATGGCGGTGGCAGGGGAGGCCAGGGGGCGTCGAGGGGACAAATCCCGCAGACTTCGAGGCAGCCGGCAGCGACGACCGCTTCCCTCGCTTCTAGGCAGGTAAGAAAATAAATAGAATAAACTCCTACATGGAAAAGGCGGAGCGCTCTTCGCCCAGGGTCCTCCGTGCCCGCGGTCCAGCCCCTGTGCAAATGGCCATGGTGGGATCGGCTCGTGCGGAGTCTCGGAGCCACCGAGGCGGGAGGTGCCGGCCGGGCGCGCGCGTGGTCGGGAACACGCCGGGCAGAGCACCGCCCCACAGTTTAGCCCGAAGGGCCGACCGGAGCGTCAGCGCGAGGACTGCGAGGATCTCGACCGGCCAAGTCCGGCTTTGCTCCGTCCCCACCCTCCGTGCGCCTCCGACCGCCTGTCCGGAATCTGACCAGAGCCCGTCCCCGCCGCCGCCCTGGGACCCCGCGGTGGTCTTCTTTTGGGGGCGAGCGGCAGTGCCCGAAGGATGCTCCACCCACCCCGGTTCCTAGACTCGACGGGTCCCGACAATGCCCCGTGGGCGCCGCGAGTTCCCGGTCGCCGAGTCCAGCGTCCGGCTCTCGGGCTCAATTCCGCGCCCCGACGGGCTTGGCGCTTCCCGCGGCACCCAACAGCTCGAGGCGCACTGGCTGGAAGCCAGGTCCTGCCGCCTCCTCCCCGCCTGCAGCGTCCTTCCAGGCCTCTCCTGTCCGGGCGGGTGACAGTCGCAGAGGCAGTCGGAGGACGCGAGCGGGAGAAGCGCGGCACCCGGGTCACGGCTTCTCGGTACAGTGTTTGCAAAGCGCCGAGGGCGTTCCGGAGAAGGCGGCGCACTTGTCAGGGCAGGGTCCCAGCGCCGCGCCCGAGGAGAAAGGGCACACAGAGGCCTGGCCGAAGGGCGTGAGGGGCGCGGCGGTGGCCACGGGCGCCGCCAGGCCCTGGCCCCGGTTGAGGAAGGCCACCAGGCGCCGCATCTCGTCCAAGGCCTGCGCCTGCATGAGGATGTAGTTCTTGGCCAGCAGCAGCGTGGCGATCTTGGAGAGCTTGCGCACCGACGGGCTGTGCGCGTAGGGGATGACTGCCCGCAGCCCGTCCAGTGCGTCGTTCAGGTCGTGCATGCGCCGCCGCTCGCGCGCGTTGATGCTGAGCCGCAGAGACCGTTGCTCCCGCGGCCGCCGCCGCGCGTCCCCCGCGCCCCCAGGCCCGCGCCGCCGCCGCCGCTGCTCGAAGGCGTCGTCCTCGTCGCCGCTCTGTTCGCCGCTGCTCTCAGCCGCCGGAGCTGGGGCGCGCGGCGTAGGAACCGCAGGGAGGTCGCCGCCCGGGCCCGGAGCGCTGTAGCCGCGGGCCGCATCGGGTCCTCGGGCCGCCCCGTAGGCGAGGCCTGCCGCTGCCGCCGAGTAGCCGTGTCTCAGCGCCAGGTACGCCTCCCCCGACAGCGACTTGAGCTCGGCCATGGCCCCGCGGCCTGGGCTCGCGGGCTCGCCGGGTGGGCGGGCGCTCCTGCGGCTCCCGGCTCTGCGCGTCCGGCCGGCTGCCCGCGGGTCCCCAGCCTTTGCTGCCAGCCGCCTTCTCCGCCTCCGCTTTCTCTCCCTCCTCCACCCCCTCCCAGCCGCGGCGCGCAGGGGGCGGGCTCTAGCTCCCACTCGCTCCTGCTTTGGTTTTAAGCCGTGGCGGCCCCCGGTGGGACTTCGCCGCTGTCCAATCGGGGGGGACCGCATGACCGCCTCTTTCCCGGCCCGGCTCCACCTGCGCCGCGGGCGGGCGGACCGGCCTGGGGTGGGGGCTCGGGACCTAGATGCGCGGGGGGTGGCGGGGCCCCAGGGCCCTTTTATTTGCTTCTTGGCACCCAAGTCGCCGCCTTCTGCCGCCCTTGGGGATTGCTGTCACCAAACGCACGCGTCCACGTGGGCACCGGCCTCAGTCTGCCTTCGAGTCCGACCCTAGCGCAGGAGTCCGAGGCGGCACGCAGGGGCCGGAGCTGGGGGCGTGCAGCACCAGCGCCAACTCCCTGCCCCTCTGAGGGCCGCCTGGGGTCGGGGTCGGGCTCCTGGGCGCTCTGGTCCAGCAGCGGCGCAGCGCGTACCCGGAGCCCGACAATCCCCGCCCGGGGCACTCTGTGGCCAGGCTGGAGGGGAGGAGTAAGAGGGACTTTCTAGAACCTGTTGAAAAACGCCACGAGCGTTGCAGGCCGGGGAGGACAGGAAGGCGGAGGGCAACGCGGCCTGGGGCTCCCTGGGGTGGGGGTGGGGGCTTTGTGAGCCTTGGGGCGGCCTCCTCCCTGCCAGCCGCTTCCTGGGCATCTATCCGCGAACGCGTGGGGCTTGGGGGGCTTTCCTGGAGCCTTTGCAGGCGCTGCCTCCCCTGGGCTCCAGCCACACTGGCTGGGAATGCGGCCAGCCCCGGACCCGCCTTTTCAGTCCTCTTCCAAGCCCAGATGAGGGCCGGGACCCGAGCCTTTCTCCCAGGTGGGAACCTGCCTGGAGGCCGGGTCGAGTGGTGAGGGTCGAGAGTGCGGAGGGATGGCGGCTTCTCCGCTCCTCGCTTGGTGGGAGACTGGGCTACGGTGGCCTTCCCGCACGAGGTGGAGCGGCCCCGTCGGGTCGTGCTGTGTGACCTGGGCAGGGCCGCATACCCTCTCCATTCCGCAGGCTCCTCCCCAGGAGGAGCCTCAGAGACGGTCCTGAGTGCGGGGCCGAGGGAAAGGAGTGGGCGCTGCACGCGTGGGAAGTGGATGTGCTGCCTGGAAGGTTCTGGGGACGCAGCAGCGACCGGCCTGTCCCGTGGTTCCTTGCCGGGTGCCGGGTGCCGGCGTGAAGAGAGAGATCAAGGGTAAGGCACCGGGAGGGGAGCGGGCCTGAGGCAGCCTCTGCCTGCTGCGGCGGGTCTGGCTGCGCGTCCTGAGCACCGGCCTCACCCTCAGCACACGCCGCCGGGGTGCAGGGGCCCTGGACGGAAGCTCTGTCTCAGGCCCTGTCCTGGGGCCCCCCACTGCCTTCGGGAACTGGGGAGACCTGGTGTCGGGGAGGCCGCTGTGTTTGCGCCTGGTCTGAAGGGTGAGCGGGGAGCATTCAGGTGGCCGGAGGGGCCTGGCACAGGGGAGGGCAGTGAGGGTGGGTGGGGCCGGGAGATGGAGGGGACCAGCCCTGTGGCGCCGTTTAGCCACGCGGGGATTTGGGCTTTCTTGGGAAGCAGGCGCTGTGGGCACTCGGAGAGCCACTCTGCGCTGCGGCCGGTTCGGTCTGGGGCTGGGGCCGCCTCCGTGTCTCTCAGCCCTGGCACAGCGGCTGGGCCTGAACTGCAGGCCGGTGGGGGCCTGGGGGAGGCGGCTCCTCAGCTCCCCGGAGCTCCCGGACTCAAAACTGGGGGAGCAGGAGAGTGAGCTGTGGACATGGAGATGTTGGGCCCCCAGGGGAGGTGCCCCAGTGCTGGGGAGAGGCCTCTGAGGGACACGCGTCACTGACACCGCAGTGTGGGCGAGAGTGGCTTTCAAAGCCTTGGCTGGAGCAGAGTGCTCGGTAAAGCCAGAGACGCGGACGCCATGCAGCCCGGGCCGGTGCCCAGGGCCGGTTCATCAGGAACCTCCAATAGGATGGGCCTTGGTTCGGAGGCCTGGAGGCGGGGATGGGCAGGGGGCAGGGGC